TCCTTTTCCTATGAGTCCTCTGGTCTCCCTTCGTCCTTGGGGATCAAGGCTCACTCCACCCGAAGTGTGGCGGCCTCCAAGTCCTTCCTGTTGGGTGTGGCTATGCAAGATATTTATAATGCTGCGGGCTGGTCTACGCCGCTCTCTTTTGCCAGGTTCTATGACCTTGACATCCTTACCGCTCCTGGTTCCTCAGTTCTCTTGCCGTAGTTGTGCTACGTACATACACACTATGCAGGCATTTGAAAGTCTAACAGTATGGGCATTCTTGTTCCCAAAGCGTTTTGACACAGCTCGAGTTCCTGAAGGGGAACGTCTCTAGGTTTACGTATGTAACCCTGGTTCCCCGAGGGAACGAGAAGCTGCGTCGCATTGCCATACTTCCTGCATCCCTGTGAGCGACTTGCTTCAACTATCAGAAGCTAACGCTGCTTGTTTCGGATGCGCTTTTAAGCTCTCTGGTCTCTACATCACACCGCCCGTGACGTCTCGCCATTCCATTGGACTGATTTCACATGTGATTCAGAGCGTGGGGACACAGGGGCGTTCCCAAAGCTTTTCGATGCAGCGTCTCGTTCCCTCGGGGAACCAGGGTTACATACGTAACCTAGAGACGTTTTGTATGGTTTTGCATGTAAACCGGTTAAACAAGTTATTTCAACAAAATTATTTGTTTCACTCAAATGTTTCCAGTTAAATCTGTTAACTGAGGTTACTAAGCTAAACTATATCTATAATAATTCATTTATGTTCTGCAGGTGTTTGTAATGCAGAAACAGATGAGACAATGTCAATGATGGAAGGAGATCCTGTAATTCTTCATACTAATCTTTCTGAAATACTGAACGATGATACAATACTCTGGGGGTTTGGACCTAAAGAATCAGTCATATCTCAGATAACGAGAAAGAACGACTTAATCTCATTTTCTGTCACAGATGATGTGACATTCGCAGGCAGATTGCAGGTGGACCAAAAAACTGGCTCTCTCACCATCAGAAACACCAGAAACAGACACTCAGGACAATATAAACTAACAATCTCTAAAGAAAAGATCACATATTATATGTTATTTTTCATAAGGATATTTCCTATGGATGTCTTTGGTGAGTATCTCATGAGAATCTCTTTCATTTAATGAAATGATCTTGTTTCAGGTTTCATGATATCACACGGTATGATTTCATGCTGCAAGCATCTTACATGGACAGTACAAAAAATCTTTATAAAGATTTATATAAGTTCTGGTCTGTTTGTTTTCCAGATGAGATTGTTGAGACGGATGGAGTGAAGTCAGTGTCAGTGACAGAAGGGGAATCTGTCATTCTACAGAATGATGCTACTGAATTACAGAAAGATGATCTGATTGTATGGAGGTTTGGAGATAAAGGCGTCCTCCTAGCTAAAATCGATGTAGAAACTAAAGAGCTCTCATTAAATGATGCTGATGAACGATTCAGAAACAGACTACAACTAGATCAAAATGGATCTCTGACCATCACAAACGCCAGACCCGAACACACTGGACTTTATGAAGTACAGGTCAAAGGCCGCAAGAGCTCACAGCAGTTCCTTGTTTCTGTCAGTGGTGAGTTTCAAATTAAAGGACTTTAGCACAAAGTATTTGAAAATAATCAAATAAGCATGAAACACACAACCTTATGATTTGAAATGATTTGTTTCAGTCTTTTTGAGTGGAATTTCCCCAAACCGAGAGTGTCTCCCATGATCTCAAATGCAGTAGATTCACTGGGAAAAAGGTGGATAATTTGCAAGCATCAGGGAGCTGCTCTCATTATGCACGATATTGAATGCGCTCGCTTTTACTTTCGCTTTCCAATTTGTGATCACCCGCACAGATCACCCGCGGGGAGCGGCGGTACTGAGCGCACATTTTACAAGATAATATATTTGTCAATGACGCTCAAGATCTGTTGTGCACCAAATCCCCTGCCGTGGTCTTGTCAGTCAAATGACAGCAGCAAGTAATGTAATCGGTGTATGGACGAACACAGTGTAACACCAGTAACACAGATTACCAAAGCAAGCCTAAGGTCAACTATAAACTAACGTGGAAAGTAAGGATGTAACATGTTGAATACTATATACTGTACATGTCAACTACCTGACACCTGTCAGTCCTGAATCATGAAAAATATTTTGTCCTCTAATAATTTACTGTCTCTTTTTAGCTGATTTGGGTTGGTCATCAACTGTCATGGCTGGAATAGTTGTTGCTGTTCTGCTGTTGGCTGGACTTTTAGCTGCTGTTGTGATTTACTATCGCCACTGGATCTCTAAACTAGAAAAACAAGTGGGTAAGTATTACAGTGGTATTACTGCTTAGAACCTTTTGTTTTCATTTTATATACCTCCCTTCCCCTGCCCTGTAGGAAATAAAAAAAAATAAAAAAAACATCTTTTATTATGGTTTTATCACCATCATTGCTTCAAACTCAGTAACAATAACACAAAGTCAATTATATTTTAAATAACTGATGATGTACTCCTTCAGGTGTGTGTTTCAGACATCCATCTATTTGATACCCTTTTAGCACCACCAACTTTTCAGAAAGATTGGGTTTAAGGCAGGGGCGTAAATTTAGTCTAACAGTTGCTGGGGACAAAAACATAAAATTTCTCAAGAGCAATTTTTGAAGTGGACACAAATAATATAGCTAAAATCGTTCTTGTAATACCGCATCGCAACAGAACAAATCCCAGACAGTAAATGGATTCCCTGTACTATTTCTGACGTAGTCAAGCTCTTTGCATCATCTGTATTAAAGAGAAACTAATCACTTCATCTGATGTTTAAGTGAATAAAGTAGTCTTGACAGCCTTAATTACTGGAGTTCCACAACTATTGGCTTTGTTCTGTCTCACTGGACTTTGCATTTGGACCAAAGCACTGTGAGGCAAGGGAGGGGAGACTCAAAATGTTTCTAAACTTAAAACGCATTTTTGTCCGTTTTGCATTTGTGTTGTTTTACTACTTACACAATTTTTTAAAGTAGAAAACATTGCTATTTACAATAAGCTGAACATGAGCTTCATGAGCTGAAGAGGGGAGGATTGTGTTGAACCTCACAAACAGATGTCTAATAAGTGCATACTGGTCCAAGATGTCCAAATCCTTCCTTTGATCTTCTAGCAAGTGCAATGTCTCCTGTTCAGCTTTGCTGTGTGTAGACTTGCCAGAGACCTCAACATCTTCGGTAAAAACAAAAAAGTCTTCCACTTCACCATCAGCAGGTGTAGAACTTGATTCACTTTCAGTGACAAACACGAGGTCTGCTGCTGACTGGAGCATTAGTTAATGGATTCTATTTTTGGGGGATTTAATTGTTGGGGTAGCCAGCGCATTTTGAGGTATGGATGGGTTACACTTGCCAGGATTGAAAATGTATCAGGACAGTCTCTGAAATTGGAGGAATGTAAAGCTTCAAGTATAATATATATAGTATATAATATAATAGCTTCAGAATAATAGCAGAATGACTGACTCTGTAATCGATCACTGGTGACTGCAAGGGGCTTCAAGATTTTGGTGTACTCCTCCAGGTAATCCAGTTCAGCATCTCTGACGGAAGGTAGGTTCAATTTCACCACGATATCTCCAAGTTTTTCTCTTTGAGTGTTCAGCTGGTTGAGACTGTCATACAGAGAGTTCCATCGTTTTGGATATGGTGTGATCAACCTGCACTTTAACACCTCAGAGATCTTCTCTGCACTCTTTGGTCTACCTGATGCATTCCACAAGGCAGAACAATAACCCATTGTGGCATTGTTGAGACGAGAGAGACTGGGATTGTCTTCCATGGCTTTCTTCGCATCTGTGGTGGCCACTAAACTGACATGCACACCTCAAGTGGGTTGGCAAAACAATTCCACTTTCATTCTCCTCTGAAACTGATGAATCAATGTGTAGAAAGAGATCCTCATTGCCATCTTGCTCTTCTACAGTGATGCTTAACTCTTTAAAGGCTTTTACAAAATTAGACCCGTTATCAGTCACTTTGGCCACAATGTGTTCGTGTGACATCCCAAATTCAGAGTGGATTTCTCCCAACGCTTCAGCAATTCGGTTGTATGTGTGTGGACTTGGAAAATGTCTGCAAGCCAATGTGACAGACTGGCGTTCCAATGTGTCATTATGAACCCAGTGTGCTGTGACTCTTATGGAACTAGACACACTAGTGGACCAGATGTCAGCCGTGGTGCAAAGATATTTGGTAATTTTCAAGTCTTTTACACTACTAACTTTTGATTCAAAGTCACAGTCAATTCTTCTGCACAGCATTCTCCTTGACATCACAGATGAGTGAGTGTGGGCTAAGTTCTTGAATCAGTTCAATAAATTCCTTCTGCTCAACTGTTGAGAGTGGATGCATCCCTTGAACAACATAGGAAACAATCAGCTCATTTAATCATTTTTGTGACACCACTGAGGATCCTGCAAAGAAATTGCTCTGCTTGTATTGGGTGTTGGCTGGTGTCTTTTTCTTTGCTGCTGTGACATCCTGCTTGTGTTGATCATAGTCCTGGAGTGCTTCAGGGTGTATCCTCTGTAAATTAACTTTGAACTTTAAATTTGTCATTGCAGCTAAAGAACCAGATATTATGTTTTTATTTTTTGTGCACAATTTCCATTCGGCTTGAACTTGGCCCAGTTCTGTTTGTTTCACAATCTTAAAGTATCTGCCATCCAATATTGTCAAACTAACCCGCCCAGTTGAGCTAGGAATTTCTGGTGAATCATTATCCTGTTCAGCCAATGTAGTGTATTATGATGATGCCAACCCTGAAACAACATAGAGAACTACCACATTTTGCTAGAAGTTTGATTGCATCATATAATAATTGCTGTTAATAGTGTTCATCGTCTCTTTGATTACGTCTTTAATTGATTTTTCCGTACATTTCTGCCATATGTACATTAACTGACAGTCACCACTGATAAGCTACCACTAAATTTTGTTGAAACTTAATTTGCTGTAAAGTTGCTTTGCATTAAAGTATCTGCCATCCAATATTGTCAAACTAACCCGCCCAGTTGAGCTAGGAATTTCTGGTGAATCATTATCCTGTTCAGCCAATGTAGTGTATTATGATGATGCCAACCCTGAAACAACATAGAGAACTACCACATTTTGCTAGAAGTTTGATTGCATCATATAATAATTGCTGTTAATAGTGTTTATCGTCTCTTTGATTACGTCTTTAATTGATTTTTCCGTACATTTCTGCCATATGTACATTAACTGACAGTCGCCACTGATAAGCTACCACTAAATATTGTAGAAACTTAATTTGCTGTAAAGTTGCTTTGCAACGATTTGTATCGTGAAAAGCGCTATACAAATAAACTTGAACTGAATTGAATTGAACACTATCAAAAAATTCATACTGTATTTAAAACTGTGGGAACCTTTTCTGCTATCTAGCAAAGAATAGAGATGGGCAATATGATTAAAATTTTACTTCACAGTAACAATCATGGTTTCACAATTCTCAATATTAGTTTTGATACCACAGTAAAAACTGAATTGCAAAGTTTTTTTTTAGGCTTTTTTTTTCTTTTTGGCAGGTATGCATATTTATATACCCATAAGTATATCAACTTTTATAATTATTTCATGTAAAGTTTATTTGTTTCTATGTAAAGTTTATTACAATAGAAAGTTAATCTAAAATTTACATTTTAAAATTAGAATTTATTTAGATTAATTTTGTGACGATATCATCACAAAAATAAATAAATTAGCATCTATTCAATTCTTTTGAATCCATTACTCATTCAATATTAGAAATATCTTTCATCACCAGTAATATGTTAACAGTGAGTTTTAATCATCATTCATTCTCATCATTCATGTCAACCCAATCAGAACACTAAATGCATGCAGCATTAGTAAATATTTCTGTAGTTCCAGTCTTGCATATAATGCTTACATTTACAGAATGAGCCTGCATAGCAGAAATAATGAATAAAGTAATTGCCCATGTTTTATGCAATCGTTAATTAAAAGAAAATGTTTAATTAATTAGAATACATATATAAGTATTGTTCAATTTAGTGTTATACATATGTTATCATGTAATTGTTTTGTTTAATGGCACAAGTCACAATTTCAAGTTTACTGGGTTTAACACGATTATTTGATTATTTTGTGAGGGCTTAAGAAGTGTACTCAAAAACATTTTTACACATGTCCTCAAAATGACTAATCAGTTTATATGTGAAGAAATCCATTTATTCACAAACTTCACACGAGAAGAGTGTTTGACAAACTACTCTGCAAACTACTTCCTCTCACTGCTGCTTTTTGATGGTTTGGAGAACAATTACTCCGAGTTGCCCGCTGTCGTTTCACAGAATTATAAAACGGCGAGCACGTCAAGTAGTTGGTGTGTTCACACCAAATGCGAATGTAATTATTCATGTGAGTAGATTACATACAAAGTCAATGCAAAGATGCGAATGATGTGAAATGTGTGATGCGTTTGCCACGAACACGTGGATATTCACCTCAATCGTGTCTTCCACGCAAGTTGAAAAATTTCAACTTGAGCAGAAAATTTGCATGACGTGTTGCCGCGCAAGCCTAGAGCCAGCCAAAAGTATAAACAAGGTTTCAACTGCACAAAACGCTTCTGCTACAAGAGAAAACCTTGCATTATTTTTCACATATTTTAACTTTATTTTACACTGCTTTTTCCATTCTCATAAACATGGTCTGTTGACTTCCTAGTTCTATGAAGCCCCTCCCTTAGAAATACTCAATGGTCTCAGATTCGTTAGCTGGCTCAGTGTGTTGGTCCAAAAGTATTTTAGGTATTTTGAAAATATAAAAATACTCATGTTAAATGTTTAAATACTAATTACATTTGATTTTTTGCAAAGGCTTTAAAATACGTAATAGTATTTTATATTTCAAATACGTATTTTAAATACATGTATCTGAAATACTGCCCATCCTTGCTAACAATGTCCTAAAACGTATTAGAAAAATACAATGTGTTAAAACATGTCAGCAACATGCCAAAACATGCTAGTAACAGGCTAGCAACGTGTTAAAACATCCTAGCAACATGCCAAAATATGCTCTTTGTAAAGTTAAGCTTGATCTTCTGAACACATTTCTGTTCTGTTTCTATGTGCCACTGTAACAGCTGAAGAAGAGAAAGTGGAAGGAATGGAAGGAAGAACTGTCGTTCTAAACACTGGTACTACACTACAGAACGGTGATGAGATAAAGTGGTGGTTTGGAGATGACAAAAATCCCATAACACAAAACAGTGAATGGATCAGTACAGACGCCGATATAAGCTGTGATGTTACTGACGAGAGATTCAGAAACAAAGTGCAGCTGGGTGGTGGGACTGGAGATCTCATTATTTGTTATATCAGGACCATTCACTCTGGAGTCTACAAAGTACAGATCAGCAGCAAAACCAGAATCAAAAACAAGAGATTCATTGTTACTGTCAATGGTGAGTAGATCAATAATCATGCACTGTGTGAACAGATGATCTGAACTTAACACAAATTCCCAAAGTGCAACGTCATTTTAGTTACTGTTAGATTTTAATGTTTATCATTGATAAAATAAAAATGTAAGATATAAAGTCATAACATTACCAGAATAAATTCATTTTGGTGTAAGTAAAAAACAACAAACACTTGACTGTTATATCACCAAATGTGAACTTTTCTATCACCTCTCTCTAAACTGAGGCATTAACATGTGTTTTAAAAATAACATTATGAATTTCAGTGAAGCTGCTTCAAAACAGTGTGTATTGTGAAAAGTGCCTACACAAATATACTAAAGTTATGAAACTAAAGGTCTGTTCATGCCATGCACAATAACGATAAAGATATTTATACAAATCTTTCTAAATTCAAAAGAATAGTGTCCACACCCCAACTATAATGATAACGACACAGAACGATATAATTGGAATAACTTTCGATTTTTTCAGCTGATGAGCGATAAAAATATTGACAGCCAATCACAATCTATCCTGCTTTGAAGAGCTCGAGCACTTAAAGCTCGAAATGACAAAACTGCAGCGTGTGCTTATAATAAACAGAACAATATTGTGCGTTTGTGTGGATGCTAATATAGTTATCTTTATAGTTATTGTTCTTGGTGTGAATGAGCCTTAAAGGAGTTATATTGCAGAAATGATGTAGAAATATTTTGAGAGAGATCACAATATTACAAGAAAAGATGTGATGATGAATCATAGGTAGTCACAGGTAATTCAGATTTCAGATGAGCTGAAACTACGAACATAAACTAGGTTAAAAAAAATGCCATCAAAATGAATTTGTTGAAAATGCAAATTAAATTAATTCACACTTTATTTTCTGTATTTGTGTTTCTGTTTTGCTTTGACATCAAGTGGGGAACGTGTCAGTGAAGGTTGGACAATCTGTCACTCTAAAGACCGATATTAAAATACAGGAAGGAGATCTGATACTGTGGACCTTTGGAGTTAAAAACGGTCTCATTGTTAAAGCCGAATCAGGGAAAACTAGTATTAGTGAGAGCTTCAGAGGCAGACTGCAGCTGAATGATCGAGATGGATCTCTGACCATCACAAACATCACCAATGCAGACTTTGGACATTTTCAACTACAGGTCCTCAACAGCGAACGGAACAGATTCAGGAGATTCAATGTGATCAAAGGTGAGTAGAACAACATTTATTCTAATTAATACACATTTAAACAACAGTACTGGTCTTCAAATCTGATTGGTTGGCGTTCCAAGAAAGTGTTCCACTTGTATGTGCTTGTTCATCCCAGATTATAAGAGCAATGCGATCATAGTTCTGTAAGGCTGTGTCTTTGTGCTGGTACCTTAGCTAGTTTAGGCCTGTCATGGATAAATAAATATGACACTATGGGGCCGTTCACGTCATGTCTTTTCTGCACTCAAGTTCATTATTTTAAATGTAAATGTGTGCCAAGTATGCTTACAATAGAATTGATGCTGTCTAGATGAAAACAACAACCTTTTTAGAATGCCGCAAGCACACCACAGGTCATGTGACAAGAACTATCCAATCAGGTTCACCCTTCCGTAACAACATTGAAAAGATGAAGGAACAGCTGATCATAGCTGGAATAGCCAGAGCTGTACGATTTGTCAAGTGCCTAATATTTCGACACCAACTGGAGAAACAAACAGTGAATGGAGATGCATAAGTGTTGATGACAAGTATGTGATTATGTATTAGCCAACTGTAGTTTACGTGGGTAAATACTGCATATTTTCATTATCCAAACAGTGATTACCTTACAGCTAGCCAGAAATACTTTCTTTGCAACTGACTAATGTAAGAAATTATAGTCTGCCTCGACCAAACTTCCACTCCAAATTAAACTATTCTCCTTTCTCTACAAAGAGCTTAATTATCATAGAGATAATATTACACCTAGACAGATTTGTTCAGAGTCTAGCTACTTATCTTAGCCGATATTAATGGAGAGCGCAGCTCAAGGTTGCTTAGCAATGGCAGACACCATTGGGGGGGTGCAAGTTCCTGAGCATGAGAAAAAGCCCAGAATGAGAAAGCCCAGCGTTTTCCACACATTTTTAGATGACACATGTGAACCGTCCCTAAAACCACCAGTAGGTGCTGGCAAGTCCCTATCTTAAGTCATTCATCAAATCATTTACTCAAACGATTTGCTCAAAATAGCTTAATTATTTAGAAAGGAAGCAAGTAACAGTCTTTATGAACGGATAGTTGAATCATTGACTCACTCGATTCATTCAAAAACAGATTAATTTATGAATGAAACAACACAGTGTTGCTCTGAGATGCACAAATGTCTGCCTCCGGCTTTGTTTGGGATTATTGTAGTTGGCAAAACAGAAAAAAACAGATAATATCGTGTCTAAATGTAACTTAATTTCTTATCTGTTGAACTGCTGTATAAAAATCAATATCACATTTATATCACTGATGCTCACGGGGAAAATGTCACTCTTGCTTGTGTGATATTACAGCACTGTATTATATCTTATAAATATAAAAAACAAAAGCCCATACAGGCATATGTTTTGCTTTCATAACTTGAATAATAGGCTCATTCATAACTGCATTCTGATATGCTTCATCAAGTAGTGAATACTTTAGGATTCTCAGGAACCCAAAGTCTTTGTTGCCAAGTGAGTAAAACAACAATCGATATCGTAGACGATAAATACCGCACACCCCTAAAATAAAGTAGACCTGAAGATGCTTTATTCATTGATAGTCTTTATTTATCAATAATCTGTCCCTCCATCTATCTTCTGAAGCCAATGGAAGATGAACGAAGTTATTCTTTTAGGTTTTCAAGGAAAGACGTCTATAGATTCATATTGTAAAAATATTATCTTTATATTTTGTCATTATATTTTGTTTAATGTTCTGTTGTTTTCAGCATGTGTAGGGACAATCGAGTGGAGCTGTAACATCATCCATGTGTAGATGTATATGTAGCAGAACTGTTTTTTTCTTACTTTTTAAAGGTTCCCAAGTTTGACATACCTGTATAATGCTTTAAGATCACTGAAAACTATCAGACATCTCGAGTTTACTCCACAGCAGTCAGTTTTCTTCTGCGCACACACAAGTAAGTTACATTCAGTTAGTGACACTGAGTGGTGTCGTGTGAAGCCGACCATCTCCTCCAGCCTGGTGGGTCATCGTCTCAGCTGGCTGCAATGTGTTTTTTTCTTAACTGCTCCCACTTACTGTTTAGTCACACCTAGCCTAACTATATGAAATGAAAATGTACAAAAATTTAGTCAGTACTTTTTAAAATTGTAAGAAATAAAAATGAGAAACATTAGAAATGTATTTTAGTGAAGTATTCAGTTTAAATTACACTTAAGTTAAAGTACAAACCCCCAAAAACAATTTAATTTCAGTAACGTTAGTGAAATAAATTAACTCTTTACACCTATGCATAAAACGATTGCAAGACATTTCATGGTAACCTAACGTTACATGACCCGTTTCTGCTCACCTGCTCCCTGGTTTTCTGTTTAATAGCATTGACCCTAAATAACATGTGAATATAATGTTGGCTACTTCAGAAAACAGAAAATAAGCACATTTAAAAAAAAAACTCTTACTTACCTTTATGAAAATGTCGAGGGTAAACGAACATAACCGGAGACATGTTGGCAAATATGATGATTTTGCACATCACCGCTGCAACCCAGGCCATCTGACGCGGCGACACCTCTTGTTGTTTAGTCTTTTTTTCAAGTGAGACCTAAAATATCTTTCTTCGTGGTGAGTTTTTGACCTTTTCTATCATGCAATTCACTATTGCAGACTTTAACACAACAAGAATGTACCATTTTAAATCAAATGAAAAAGACAATTCTCCAACTACAGAACTCCTCGTCTTTGATACCTTACACATGGCGGCGATACCCAAAATGCACTTCGATTCTCGTGAGTGTGACATCACCTGACAAAGACCGATTCGCACGGGATTAGTATTACGGGGTGACCTCCAGTCATTTGTAATAATTGTGGAGGTTGTCTGTGATCTTAATCCCGTGCGAATCGGCCATGTCTGTAATTTGTAAAGTAAAAATTCCCCTATATGACCTACCATATTTCGCCGAACACCGAGGTCCTGTGATAATATTAGTCCCGTGCGAATCGACATCTCTGTGATTCGGCCAGCATTTGGCGGGTCGTATATCATTTTTTGAGGTTTTTGTTTGCTGTGCGCCTTTTTATCCATCTTTCGTGAAGAATGGAGCTGCGTTGGAGTGTTTGATAGTATTTTGGGTGCTGCAGAAAGAGAAAGCTGAGAAGGTTTTGAGGTTAACGTGTTACAAATCCAGCATAAAGCTTGAGATATTATTTTAACCTGGTGAAATGTAAATGACACTGCGCACGAAACTATATTAGTTTCTTTTTTTTTAAATCCATCTGGACCATAGAACGGGACTCTCAAAGCCTTGACATCCGGGTATCCGGGAGACAAGTCAGTAAATTCGAGTAAAATCACAGGCGTCGCTTATCCCGTGCGAATCCCCAGATAATACTAATCCCGTGCGAATAGGGCTTTAGTCTGAGTCAAAGTCTTGTTTCGTCTGGTCTTGTCATTGCCTGATCACCCGTGTCTTTGATCCTTGCCTGTTTTTCTCGTCTTTTTTTCTCTGTATTCTGGAGTACTCTTTTGTCTTGCCCTATTTATCACTGTTTGCTGGTACTGACCCCAGCCTGTCTGACTACGCTCTCATAATAAAGCCCGCATAATATGAAGCCATGCGTGACGAAGGCGTGTGGATGCATAGGCAGCACTTATGCATCCACACGCCTTTGTCACGCATGGCTTCATTACAATATTTCTGAATTTATGAAAAGAAATAAATGTATTCGTTGGAAAATGTAAATGTTGGAAATGTATTCAATATTTTAAACAAAGCTTTGTCAAATATTATTCAAAAGAATATTTTGGAACTTGTAGTTTTTCGAGTTGTATGCATTAGCCTATTGTGCCTGTTCAATGTCTGTATTTCTGTCGTTGTCCATACCAGTAAAGTTTTGTTGATCGACTTGGAGAAAGAGAAAAAAGCGATCTTTAGTGGATGCAAACAGCAGATGGTGCTAATGCAGTTATTATTATAGTTTGAGATGTGTTAAAAAGAAAAAGTTACCATCGTAACATATAAAATTTTCGGGGTTCCCCGCATGTGTGTTATGTCTAATAAAGCTGGAGGATTTCGGATTAACACTGTTAGTTAATAGCCACCGTTTATTATTTTATTATATTCGTGTTTAGGCGAACCTTGTATGAACGTTCTGTTACAGTAGCATAAGTCATAAATTCATAGCATGAATTTATTATTTACTATAATAAAAGAAAAAAACTTACATTTTCGTCTTTAGTAAGTAGCAATTTTTAACAAATGTCGCTGTCAGCCGGGTGGGAGTGGTTCGGTGTTAATATCAGATTTTGATGGAATTTGCAATATGAGGAAGACTTTAAAGATCTTTCTGTTTTTCACATTTAATGTGCGGTAAGTGTGTAATTTCATTCGTAAACACTTTCGGTTTCACTTTGAGCATTTCACATTGGATGAAGTTTCTCTTATTCCTTAAACTGTCACTGTTCCGCTGCCGGGATGCTTGGCACTCTTTTTTTTTTATTGCGTTTTTACTCTATCAAATATTTTAGTAATCACCCTGAACTAGGGAATTTGAAAGCTTAAAAACACAAAATTAATCCTGTGAGAACCGTTTTGGAATCAGACATTGCGTTACCATTGAAACAGTACTTTAAAATCCTCTTAGCTAGCTCCTCCCCCTAGTGGATGGTGTCAAGTTTCATACTACAAAATTTACTATGCTATTTTATAATCAAATCTTTTTTAATGTTGACAAAACATATCGTTGGAAAGATCTGACAGTCAAGGTTTCATATTTGGTTACTGTTTTGTGATAGAAGTGATATAGTGACAAAAATTGATTGATTTGTGACAGAAAAATGCGTAAAAAAAAAAATTCAGTAGAGTTTGGGTATCACCCGGTGGTTATTTTTGGTACAGCACCCAAACAAAATCTCTCAATTTTTGTGATATCAACTTCAAATTTGGAACATAACTTGGTTAGACATATGGCTTTAATTTTATAGCAATTTTAGAGTGCAATATATTTTATAAAATATTTATTTTATGTAAAATAAAGTTTTAGTATACTATATTTTCTTTACTGTAAACTTAAACTTCTAGAACTTTTTTATATTTTCTTTATATGCTTTCACTTCAGCAATATTCTGCTGTGTGATTTAATAGTATGCTCCTGTAAGAAAATAGCAATAATGGACAGACTTTCAGCATCATCTTCACTTGAAATGGTACCATCTAATCCTGTTTACATGAATATGAATTGAGTTTAGAGACCTGTTGCTATGACAGCAACTCCAGGATGAGGTTCGATGAACTTAATCCTGGATCATGTCAAATCATCAACAATAAAATCCTGCTAACTGAGTAATCAACAGATGAAAGAACAGGCCCCGGATGTTAAATATACAGTATATAAATAAACATTCATCCAGAAAAGCTGAAATATTGTTTATTGTTAATTTATATAAAAGATGGTTTTACTTATGTTAACATACAACGTTACTGTTATTACTGAATTTAAAAATGTCATCCACCTTGATGATGAATCCACATATTC